TGATTCAAAAGAAATATCAAGAAGAACCGATATTTCAAGAAAGGGAAAATGCACCATATGGGAATAATGGTGCAGAGATGAAAAACATGAGTGGCGATGACAATGAAATAAATAAAGAACAAAATAGCAAACGCGAAGGGGATGCTCAACCAGTGGTGAACTTTAATATAAGTAGTGATGACACGGGAAATAAAGTTGAATAACGAATAAAGAAATTCAGCATAATTTACGAAATTTTAGTCCCACCACGAATAAGGGTATGCTTTAAAACCGTATTGAGGAGATGTGCCAATTGCTGTACGAGAAGACCGCTCAAGCGACCAAAGCAGAAAGTGAACTTAAATCTGCTAGGAATTGGAAACCTACTGGTGAATAAGGCCATGCAGATGAAACCTGAAAGTACGAATGTAGTTAAACTTCTGAACAATGTATATGTGCATATGGAAAAAAAAATGTATATGTGCATAAACAATGCATATGCAGCTGCCACAGCAATCGTTTAAGAACTCGAAGACAGAAGAAAACAGAATAAAACTATTCGTAAACAACTAGAGTATTTCTAAGAAAGAAACCAGAAACTGAAAAGATTAAGGAAAATAAAGAACTATATTGAAACAGAAATAAAGAGGAGAAAAAAACGACGATGGCCAGAAACAGTCGAGTTTAAAAAAATAACGAAAATTTAGGCACATATGGGCAAATGGTGCAGTATGAAACTATTAATCAGAGCCAATGGTGAACTAGAAATGAAAGAGATGCTATTAGCTGACTGGATAAATGTGCAGAAAGAGAGATTTTAGATTCTTTTTATTTTTTAATTTCAAATTTTTTTTTCTCAGATTTCTTTGATCAGATTCTTCGTGATTCGTATAGAAATATTGAGCCAATATGGTAAGAGGAAACACCACGAAGAGAAGAGATCCAGCGTGAATGTATGGTAAGAACTGAAAAAGAAAAAAAATCTAGAATGGTTTGAAGCACGTTAGAATGTGTTAAATTGCTAAAGCGGGGACATAGAAACCTCTAGCCGTAGCAACGTTCTAGACAATGTTAACGGCCATACCTCCAGAGTCAAAACTGAATGCTGGACTGAAGAAGAAGATGACATCTTACGTAATCCATTAAAAGATAGAAAAGGTCGAATTAACTGGAAAGAGGCAAGAATAGATGCGATTCTCAGCTTTATCACGGGTGAGGCAAGAAAGATCGCGGCAATAAAAGCCCGACGGGCAATAGTGAAAGAGTTCAGGAGACTATTATATAAAAAGCGGTTGCAAGTTGGGGAAAAAGGTAGGCCAATAGTACACCCAGGCTAAGAAGAAACTTTTTTTGATACAGCACTGTCAAAAGAATTAAAGAATGAGATGAACCAAGACTCAAAGGGCGAGTTTATGCCTAAAGGTAAGCAGGTAAAACAGAATTTCACGAGAGATATGCGCCATTGGACTCAAGCCAAAGATCAAACTTTAATCCACTTGTGTGCAAATCGCAACGGACCTAAAATACAATGAAAAAAGAAAAGAATAACCAAAAGGCTACAAGAGATTACAGGTAAGATCAGATCGCAGCAAGCCATAAGAGACAGGTGGAGAACCTTAGAAGAGATGAAAACCCGAACTGTTGAAAGCAAGGTAAGAAATCTCACAGAAATAGAAAGTGAGAAGCTAGTTGATAACACCATGCAGCCGCTATTTGTAGACCAGTTATCAGCAATAGAGAGTGAGAGACCAGTTGATAGCATCATGCAGCCACTAGCCAAAGACCACATCTCATTCTTCAAGGGGATAGGTACGACTGAAAGTATCCCATTATGTACCTCCTTGCGACCATCTTAGTATGAGGGTGATACTCAGCTGCGAAGAGTTTGGAAGGCTCTTGCCGGGTCTGATAGTGGAGATAGAGTTTGTCAGGGTGGGGTGACGGTTGAGATACTAGCGGAATTTGAGAGAACGTTACAAGCTTCGTTACAGTGTGCGCGGAAAGGTTTCATACGGCAATGTATACGGAGGCCAAAGTGTAAGGTAAGAAGAGAAATAATGAGATACGGTGAAGAAATAATTTTTTGGTACATAAATAAAAAACCACAGAGGCATGGTGAGTTCGGATAGTTGAATATCCTCACGTATGCTGCAGGTGTTGGAATAAGTACAACCACTAGAAAAGTAAGAAAAAGCAAGTCATTCATAATGAGAGCAAAAGAGTGGTTTAAGAATAAGATCAAGGAAAGGGCACACCTGCAAAAACTACTCCACCGTATCCGATTGGAGGTAACCGGGAAAAGAGAAAGAAGAAGACCAAACAAAAGTGAAAGATCTAACATAAGTGCATTACGTCTGGGACTCGGAAGCCGGTGTTGTACGGCGAAATTGATTAGATCGGCAGTAGAAAGCAAGATGAGAGTTAAGATATTGAATAATAGAATAGAACTGCGAAAGGATGATACGAATACAAGAACGCTCAGATTGCGATTCGCAGCACAGCCCAGTTTAAAACCGCTAATCTTAAAAGATAATGAAATCGATAAAAGCCCGTTACAAGACAAAATTGTCAAGTTTTGGACACCTATAGTAGGTGATAAGAAAGAGACTTACCCTAAAGAGAGTGAAGAGTTAGAGAACTGAAAAAGGTATGTCCAGAACAAGTGTGAACAGAGCTTAGTGTGTCAAACTGTATATAGAAAAAGCTTTTCTTCAAATAGAAATTAACAAGAAAGACAGAGATGTCACACGTTTCTTATGGTTAAAAAATCCTCATTCTCTTTTAGCATCAGATAATTTGTTAACACCTGGGTTCAAAAGATTACCTTTTGGAATTATATGTAGTCCTTTCATTCTAGCAGCGGTGATTGAAACTCATCTTCAACAATATACTTCTCCGGAAACAAATAATATTCTACAAAATACATATGTAGACAATATAATATTAACTACTTCAGGCCAAAAACAAATCTTAAAACATTATCAAGCATTAAAACTTATTTCTAATAATGCTAAAGTGAATATAAGACAATTTTCAACTAACTCAACTTATGGTTATAATAATATACCAGTTGAAGATAGAGACACAAATGAGGAAATATCAGTATTAGGAATGTATTGGAAACCCCATACTGATATTATAAAAATAAAGTTTAAATCCTGGAAAGGACAACTAGGTACAAAAAGAAATATATTATCATTTATAGCCAGTCAATTTGACCCATTAGGACTAATAAGTCCCACTACTTTACCATTGAGAAAATTTTGTCAAAAACTATGAGAACGAAATTATAAATGGGATGAATTGTAGGGATCAACTTTAATGAAAGAATGGAATCGATTAGTGAAACCCTTTGAATTAGCTCAATTGATACTTGATAGACAAACTGTACCAGACGGAAATTGCGACTTACATGTATTTACTGATGCTTCCAAAGATGGACATGCAGCTATAGTGTATGCAACAGTGAAAGTAGAAAATACCATATATTCTAGTATCATGTATGGTAAGAGTAGATTAATGCCTATTAAACCTATGACAATATCTAAAGCTGAGTTATTAGCAGCTGAGGTAGGAGCAAAAAT